AAACAGCAGCTTACCTGATCTGGCATCACAACAAATTTATTTCCTATTTCCCTTTCTGATGGACTTCTGTGAACTTGTATGTAAGGAGGGTGTTCAAACCTCTGGGCAAAAGTTGAAGTCCTCCCTGCCATTAGGGAGAACAGAATCCAAGTGATTTTTCTAGAACCCCTTTCCCTGCTTTCCTGGGCTTCCCAACTCAGTTCCTTCACCTCTCCCTTGGTGTTTTCTCAAGGTGACAGCATTGAGAGGGATGACCTCCCTCCATTTTTGCCCTGCTACCTATAATATGCGTTGTTCACACTTAAGCTCCCCAACTGCTCTGATTTTCCATCTCCCCAGTCACTCCTAATAATGTCTCTGTGTGCAGGCAGACTCCTGCCAGCAATGAGGTAGGACTGAAAGGATCCTTAAAAACTAATCTAAGCCCAGCCCCTGGCACTGAGGCAGACTGAAGCACATCTGGTCCATCAGCAACAGCTGCTTGTTTAACTTGTTCTTAAAAATCTCCAACATCTACTTATCAGGGGTTTGCTACCCTTAAAATGAGTTAACATCCAGCCTAAATCCCACTTGCTACAAATTAAGCCAGTCTCTCCATACAGAGAGAACAAAACTGATCACCATCTCTATACAAGCTTCTGCATACTGGAAGACAGTTTCATCTCACTTCAGTCTTCCTTTTTCTAGACTAAACAAATCCAATGCTTCCTAACTTTTCTTGAAGGTCACACTTTGTAAACATATCATTCTTGCCGCCCTCCCCTAGACTCTCCTCAATTTGTCTACCTCTCTCAATCTGCTGTGCCCCAAACATAGTATCTGAAGCTTCACCAGCGTTAAGTAGAGCAGAATAATTACCTCCTGTGTCTTATATGCAACACTTCTATTAATACATCCAAAGGAGATGATTTGCTTTCTGTACAACAGAACTGCATTGATTCAAATTCAATCTATGACCTATTATTCTACTATGCTGCTGCTCAGCCACTTATTTCCCCTATTGTTTCTATGCATTTCTCAAGTGTAGCACTTTTCATTTTATTGAATTTTGTCTTGAGTTTTAGATTCTCTATCCAACAAAAAATCATTTTTAATTCGAATCCCGTCTTGTAGGGTACTTGCAGCCCTTCCCAGCCTAGTGCAATCTATGAATTTTATAAGCATATGTGCTCTTCCATTATCAATGTTATTAACAAAAATATTGAATAAGCCAAGCTAGATCCCTGTGGAGCCCACCTTGAAACATAATCCCAGTTTGACAATGAAACACTGATAAGTATTCAGTGTGCTGCCCCTACCTTGTCTACAGCCAGCTGTGCATCCAGAGGTATAACTAGGAAGTTTTGTTCACTGTGTAGGGACTATGGCAGCACCAGCAGCTGCCATTATTGCTACTTGCCCCCCCCAGCTCTAAGACAGTGCCCAGGGCTTGCGCCCCATTGCCCACCCCTAGTATACTACCATCTAGAGCAGTGATTTTCAAACCTTTTTGGCCATATATCAAGGTCAACATGTGGCAATGTCACTGGTTAATCATTATTCATATTTAAGCACATATTCCTTAGTAAAGCACTGTGTACCCCCCAGATACGGGGACAGGAGTACTTTAATGGAGTTTAACTCCAAGGGTGGGATGCTTCTAACCCAGCTTGTGCTGCTGCCACCACCCTTGCTTGCCCTGTCTATGCTGCCACCAAATGGGCAAAGCCCCTCACTGCAAAAATGCTACCAAACTCCATCCCAGCCCCATGGGCTGGATCAAATCATAGATGGCTCAGAGCTGTAGGTTGCTGACCTCTGATGGACCATATTTCCCTAATTTATATAAAAGTGTCGTGTAGGACAGTATCAAGAGCCTTACTGAAGTCAAGGCATTACATGACTGCCTCACTTTTATTGGGACCTATGTGTTTGTGTCTTACCCCCACAACCCTGCAATGCTGCTGTTGTTCTGTCCTAGGTTTCCTACTCTCTTTTCCTTTGTACACCAGACAGCCCAAGCTGAAGTCTCCCTTAAGTGTGTTCTCCCTGAACTCTCATTGCCCTTGAAGCACACCTGACCAGGAAGGACAGGTAACTCTTATATCATGGCAGGTCCGAGTCATATTCACTACAATAATGATTTAAATTAGGCAGAACAGACCAAGGTGTATTCTAAGGCTAATTTTTTTAAATAAAAATCATAGAAATTTGGTTGTCTGTAATGGGAGCATGGGGATGTGGATTCGGTTGGAGTAATAAGCTATAAAAGCTGTGTAGAAATTTGAATAACCTCAATATAATTAGCAAAATAAAGCAATAGATTTCAGAGAATAAAAAGGTAAAATGCATATGAAGAGCAACCACACCCTGCTTCCTTGGCCAGAATGCCTTAGTTTTGAGGAGGATTAAAAACAAAACAAAACTAGGACTTCTTTGTAACTTGTATTAACTGTTAGAAAGGAGTTTCCCATCCTCAAGCTACCACCTGTCCAAATGTGCCTGAAGTGTGAGACAACTTAATTTTGAGGGTGAAAATGACAGAAAATGTTTAACTACATTTAACTACTTGGTGTTTAACTACTTGGCATCCCCAAAAACTACAATGAACACACTCAGCACAGAACTCCTTCAATCTACCTCCCCAGTTGACTCTCTCAGAAGCTTTTTTTCCTGTAGGAAGTGACAAGGAGAGAGAAAGAGGTGCAGAACAGAAATCCAACAAAACGCGTAATTATCGATCAAACTGAAGTTGCAAGGCAGCACAATCTACTCTGATTCCAGAAAAATCTCTAACAACTGCCTGGGAGCTAATGAGGATTCTGCAAAGTGATCCCTCAGCATTGCTACAATGGCAATTCAAAATCCGGTGCTGAATTTTTTAAATGATGTTTTAGCAACGTGAACAAATACTTTGCATGTTTTAGGAGTGTTTTTTTAAGCACATCACCACGACTTTACTTTTCTACACGTTTAATTCCAAAGAATTTTAAAATGCTTTATTAATACGAGTAGTCCTATACATTACATTTATCTGAATCGAAGATAATTTCAAATTTAAGATGACCTCCCAATTATAAGGTTCCAGACATGGAAAATATGTAAGTTATAAATATGTTATAATTTTCCAGGTTTATAATCTGATTTTGGAGGTTTGTCTTAAATTTGCCACCCCCCCCCCCCAAATGACTACAGCCAAGGATAAAAGTGACTTAACTCCTGCCCTTGCCACATGTTCCCCACACTCCACCTGCCCATCTTTCCCTTGGTGCCCGCACACTGTGTGCACCCCCCCTGTGGTCCCTGCCACTTGCCCCTTCCCCCTCCCCTCCTGCACTGCCTATGTACCCCCATCGACCACCTTCCCCTCTCCCACCTGTTCCACTGTGCCTCCACTCCCTGGTGCCTGCTCCATGCCCCATACTGTCTGCATCCCTGGCACCCATCCTCCCTCCCCACCCCCAGCTGGCTGCCTCCAACACCACCTAGTCCCTACCCCTTAGCCTCCCATCACAGCTTTAACTCTGGCCCCGGGCATAGTGTACATATTGACTCCAGTTCCCACCCAGCCAAGTAGCAGTGGCTGTGACAGTGACAGCTGTGGCCCCAGCACTAGGCCGAAGTTGAAGCTGCTGCTGCCACCACTATTGCATGACAAAAGCAGCAGGGTAAGCAGCAGTGGTGGGGTAGAGGGAGTTGGGGGAGAAGGAGGTGAAAGGGAGCAGAGGAGGGAAGGAGGAGCAGAGACTGGGGGAAGTGGGGTCGGGGAGTAGCAGCTGTGGCTCCAACTCTAATCCAGAGCACAGGGTCAGAGTCAGAACCACAGCCACAGGCACTGCCTACCCCTACCCCGCCACTCTGAATGCGGAAAAAAAACCTTTGTTTTGGATTCAAGTGAATATGGTATTTTATCTCTATAAAATAAAATTGTATGATTCATAGGGTTTATTTTAGCCATCACTAAAATGAAACCACAATTGAACTGCACATACAGCAAAACTAAACTTTACTTTAGGTCAGAAGAAAGAAAAACATTACCCAAATATAGAAATATTGTAGGTAAGCAGAATTTACTTAGGTCACCACAGTCAAGCATTCTAATTCCCCCATCACAAATTCAATCATCACTGAAAGTCAGGACAGCTGTAAGATGGTCTGTAAAAAACAGAGTGCCTTCTCAGCACCTTAAAGCAGCATTTTCTCAGCAGTGAGCCAAAGAGAGAGCTGGCTGCATCTTCTGACCTGGAAACAAAATTTCCTTAAAATGGAGAACCTTCAAAGAGCACTTGATAGACATGCAAGATCTGTACTACAGCATTACTGGACAAATTTTCACATTTCCCTTAAGAAATCAGTTCAACTCACAAGAGAAAGTTTTCAGTTTTCAAGGTCATTTTTATTGAACCAGCTTTGAATTACATTGCTTAGCTGGTAGCAATACTAAGCAGGACCAAAAAAATAAAAAGGATAGAGTGCCATTCAGCATTCCAAGCTAAGTCATCTAGCAAGGTTTTGAAATATATTTTATCCATCTTCTGATATCACAAGTTGTCATGCCAACGAGTGTTTGGAAACTATGTAACAAAATCCCTCAGAAGGAACTGTTTATGCATTTAATTAAAAAAGACTAGACAATTTAATTTCTCAAGTGTGCATTGGTCTCATGTCTACAATCATTTACATTCCACACTTCATGCTCTCAGATGAGTTATCGTAAAGATTAAGTTTTATTCATCACTGATACTACTGGAAACATTAGCCAGGCTCATGTACAGCAGCCTTATTATAAGTTATATTTTAGTAGGCAATAAATTATGACACTTGTTGATCAACCAAAACAAATTTCATCTAGGCTAATATTTGATACATTCAGATAAGAAAAGCATTTGGAAGTTTTATGCTACTCATATTATACCCTGCAGTGCAAAAAAAAATGACACCTATTTTTTCCTGAGTGTTTAGGAAGTTAGTATCCTTTTTCTCCATTTTAACTTGTGATCCATTTAAAATATGCCCCCCCCTTTTTTAAACTTGTCTTGTCAAAACTATACAACTAAAACACGCTGCTTTTTGTAAATATCAGAAATATCTCATCAGGAATTATAGGGTTATTTAAAAGCATTTTTAAAAATCCTTCATTTCAGTTTTCCAAGTCGGAAGAATGCTGTAAGTATAACACTTAACAAAAAGTTGAGCATTAACATATTTTCCATTGACCAAACGCTCCAAAATATACATGCCATACGCCTTTCAAAACTTTAGAGAAATAGTCTGTTTGAACAGTTTCAAAGTACTTTTTTTTTTTTAACAATTTATATTACAAGTTTCAGTTCATTCTTCCCCAAATAACATAATGCCCAATGGAGCTGCCCCTTTTCTAGACAGAAAACATCAAACACAAAAAAGTTTTGGAATGTATTTTGGGCAAGCGGAAAGGATACTGCATCCCTTACAAATTCATCTTCATGCTGAAGGCTACAGACCACGGGTCTCTAATTCAATCTTCTCTTCTGTTTGCAAAATGTCTGGTTCTACTGGTGCCACAGGTGGTCGAAGTATAACCTCTGGTCCTCCCCCATAGATTGTCTGCAGAAAATTCCATGTTTCTTCAGATATCTGCCCAGAATCGGCTCCTGAAAACAAAAACACAATTAAAAGAATCTGAATGATAAATCCGCATAACATTCCTAATCACTCTTTTTAAAGAAAAAAGAAAGAGGGGGTAATAATAATTTAATTCTTCAAATTAATGTTATCCTCACTGAATTTCTACTACCTTGCAGCACATAGTACTCAGCTCAGTGACAGTATTTTGAAAGCTAATGGTCAAAACGCAATTTAAAAACACGCTGCTTCCTACATTTCCTGCCTGATGCTAACATTGACTGCTTTCCAGATGTTGTTATACCTTGTCTGAAACACCAAACTAGTAGGGCTGTGCGACGTTTTGGTCCCCAATTCAATTTGGCAGAGATTCAACCCAATTTAGTGGCCAAATCTCCAAATCTGAATCGAATCAGAGGACCCTTTAATCTCTCCGAATTGAATGGAACCCTCCAAGTCGATTCGGACAGACACAGCTTTAAATGTTTTTTCTACATAGCTCTAGGTACCAGTTGGCTCGTGAATGCTGCGGTGCTGGGGTGCATGGGTTGTCCCACAGAAGTGCAGGGGGTGCTCCAGCGCACTCAACAGCAGACCCAGAAGTGGACCAGAACCACTTCCGGTCCACTTCCAGGTCTGCTAGGGAGCGCACTGGAGCCCCCCACATCCTCCCCA